AATGGTGGTGTTATTTTTAAAAAGTATAGAGAAAAGTCGCATTTTGAGAAAACGGCCGAAAAATAAAAATAAAATACTGACTTTATGAGGAATTGGCGGTTACAAACATGCCCGGTATGGGAAAAAATACGGTTTTTGGGGGTTCTTAATATTATGCGATGAAATAGTTGTAGGAGAGGCTGAGGAAGCTAATAATGCCTACAACTCAAATTCCATGATTTTGAGCCGAATTTTGACTTTGGGGGTGTAGCCCCCCCCCCCTTAAATAAGACATGTTGCTGGGGAAAGAGTTAATTTAAGCAGTTCCTGATGAAGATTATGTGTTTACACTTTTCTGTTTGTTTGTTTACAGTTTCGTAACTTGTAAACCAGTAGAGAGATCGAACAATACGTGAAATGAAAAAGAAAACTGTAAGTAGGAAAAGAAAGTGAAAAGTTTGTTAGTGTAAGTTGTGAGCCAAACTGCAATCTCTGCCATATTTTCCAAAGCAAAATGATGAACAAGAAATTAGCTAACTTGTATTCACCTTTTTATGCAGAATGTAGAGTGCAATTTTCATGACAGCTTATAGCTCGTGCGCACACGTATAGACTGGTTTTGTTCTGCACATACCCATGTATGGCTCTTTTCGTCTATGCAGACGGCCAATTTAGCTAAAGATGGTCTAAAGGTAGTCTTCATGCAGCTTCTTTCATGGCTAATTCTTCCTATGTTTGAAGCACAGATTCTGTCGCAGTGCTTGCATGTCAGTGACGTAGATCGAAGCTCTGTATTTCCGCTGTTTTCCTTTCGTCGTTCTGCACATACCCATATATGGAATACAAAAAAGGCTTACGACACGAATTAATAAGTTTATTGCATGATCTGCCTGCTTAAACTAAAGAAACCCCAAACATAAATAAAAAAGTAAATGAATAAATAAATAAGTAAATAGATGTTTAAAAAATAAAATAACCCCTGTCCGTGTTGCGAGGCGTGCGAGTCTATCTAAAATTTCGTCCAACAACGAACAAGAAAAGCGCCAAAACACGACTTTACTCTTTTCCAGATATCATAATCCTATTCGGTAGGCCTACTTATTATTATTAGTAGTAGTAGTAGTATTATTATCATCATCATCATCATCATCATCATCATCATCATCATCATCATCATCATCATCGTCATCCTCCTCCTCATCATCATCATCATCATTATTATCATCATCATCATCATCATCATCATCATCATCATCATCATCATCATCATCATCATCATCATCATCATCATCATAAAAGGATCGCTCACACTCGATCTTGCTTCTGTGACTGCACGTGCACGTGACCATCTGACGAGCAAGAGGGAAGACAGCTCCTACGCAACGGAAATATTGAACAGAAAAGGAATAGGCCTATATTAGTGCCTGGCGGTTAGGTTCCCGGTTATTGAAAGCTAGGAATCGTAGAAATCGACTCCGAACCCAATTACTTACTTTCTAATGATGTGACTTCTTTCAGTGGTTACCTAAATGGCTCCGGACATCTTCAAGATTTAGAATAAACTTGATTTTGGAACACTGCAAAGCCTCAACTTGGTTTTGGTTTTTTTTCAAAAATAAATTCGAAAAAAGAGGATTTAAAGGGTTAAAATTATTGGTAACCGTTGGTTTTCGTAAAACGAAGTCGGAACTTTTCTTCCATAGTATTAATCTTGGGAATCGGTTCCTGGCTTGATTCTTCGCCCAGCTCTACTATATATTCCGATGCTCGATACGCAGATAAAAAATGTGTTTCTTCAGATCATGGCACTTTGACTGGCACAGGAGAAGCTCAGCAACTTCGGCAAACCCGGCAGACGATTCCGCGATCTGTTAGTAGTGTTAGGGCCTGCTGACGGAGTGACGGAGACCGCCATTATGAATATATCTTAAGATGGACCCTGCAGAGGCAGAGGAAGGGCCCAGGAGTTATGGATAGAATCCGTTTCTGAAGACCCCAATTCTGAGATCAAGTAATCAAGTCAGTATTTATGTATGTAATGTTTGTCTTGAATATTCCTTGACGAAAAAGACGACCAATAACAGAAGAGCAATTTTTTGGGGCCTGGTTAGAAAAAAAGAGTACACTACGGTATTTTTTATAATGATGTCTTCTGATGAAAGCTTACGTGTTTTCATGAATATTCATGAGCAGAGGGCAGAGATCTTGGGATCTCCGTCGTTCTTCGGGAATAGGAAATGGTGGAGAGAGAGAACCGGCCTGAGATTGGTGGTAGATGAATACTGCTGTGTCAGCGCTAGGATTGTGATGGGGATACGCTGCTGTCATGAAGCTTTCTTAATCCCCCCCCTCCCTCTTTCTCTCTCTCTCTCTCTCTCTCTCTCTCTCTCTCTCTCTCTCTCTCTCTCTCACACATACACACACACACGCACACGTTATAATACTTATGATCCTGGTTCGACGAATGCCTTTTTTGTTGTGCCGGTATAAAGAGCTTGACATTTCTGAACTTGCACCTAAAGGTGCTTGCTCGGGAGCGTCGTTAGTTCAGAATGATGGTATCTCAGGATTTGAATTCCCTACTGATGCACTTTTAACCCTATCCGTACGTCGTGCTGTACTATCGTATCCATACGACGTGGGGAACTCTGTGCCACCACTTTCCAAAGAGGAAATTTACTCGTTAATCCGATCCGTACGCTTTGCATAGCAGTCTGTTAAAATTATTTTTTGAGAAATACTGAAAGTTTCAAAGGGATCTTCGGACTGGAAGAATTCTAAAATGTGAAAAATACAACCCTGGGGGTACAAAATGACCCCAGGGCGTACGGAAAGGGTTAATCAATGTTTCTTAATAGGATTTGTTTTTACTTCGGTCCTGTCGGAGCTGGACGAAAGGTCAGGCGTCCACCCTATTAACAATGTTGCAACGTGTCGAAATGTGGTGTATTCCATTAGAAAAGCTCTCTAGAATCACACAATTGTTCACCTTTTTAGTTTTAGTAAAGTTTTACGGCGCTCGCAACTGCTCAATGTCATATGAGCGCCAGGAGGTGGATGTCAACACCGAAGTCCAAACGAGGAATCAGGCCTCTCTAGCCTCAACAGCACAAAGTCTGCTTCGACTATCAAGGCACCCCAGAAATAGCAGTTTACAAGAGAGTAACAAACATTCAAAAGAAGTAGAGGAAAAATGATGTTAGTAAGGATCAAGAGAGAAAAAGCAGCAGTTCCCCCTATGTTGTTCCGGCACATTATTATTAGCTTGACATTGATAAATCAGCCCATTTACACTTCTACTGTGCATAAGAACATGTTAATATCCCCCCGTAGGGAACGAACTAAAGACACACCAGTCAGTTGCACTGTCCTTTGAGTGAGGGGGCAGAATTGTTCGGACATCGAAAGCAGCAGTGTCTGTGACAAAGCAATCGGGCGCTTTGCTGTCGAACGCTGGAGACTTGAGTTCGATTCCGACTGGGAAACATATTTTCATCTTGGATGTCGGTCTTTCTGCGGGGATGTTGTAGGGCCTATCTCTCTAAGCCCGAACTGGTCGGAAGCCCGCCTCCTAAATTATCTAAATTGTCTCGATGGGTGAATAAAAACACCTACATAAATAACAAACACAAACATTAAGGCATGACCCAATCCATAAATCTCAATAAAACTTGATCGCAGCGTGACAAGGTGACAAAGCTAACTTCTTGTTTATCATTGTAAAGACTTGACGTCACTTACATTACTTACAACAATGTTAAGTTGTGAGGCAGCGTGGAGATATCAGGCTCTTGTCAAAATAACCAAAGTGAAGAAACTGGCATTTTTCCGAAGGTTTGTGAATTTTTATAGAAATTTTGTTTTTTAGTTCAGCACTTTTCATGCCCTTTAAAGAACAAATATCTGCATGGGTTTACTGAAAAAACGTTGATTAAAAGAACAAAAAAAAAATTAAATTTCAGTTTCCTCGGACTCTCATGTTAAGGAGATAACTAGTTAATTTTTGGCGGTCACTTTCTCACTAATTTTACCTATGAAACAAGGTGACCCCCAGTTCCTTCATTTACAAATATCTGGACTTGCATTCGAAATGAAATTAAATGGGTATTTTTTTCTATTCAATGCAAGACAAATGAATAAGCTTTAACTTTAAGATGAGACCAACAACTCTGTGTGCCCAAAAATTGACGAGAGCCTGATTCCACTGCGTCGTGACACAGTTGTTTAAGAGGTGGGAGATTCTGAATGTGACGTCCATCTCCGATAGGATCGATGAGCTAGATGCATGAAGAGCCTTAAAGACTCCCTCCAAAACACCCTCAGATCAAGTTCAGAACGCTCTGTTAGATGTAGGCCTACCAACTGAGCTAACGGTGCGCCCTTAATTTTTTGTATGTCAATTTTGTTTGTACAGAGATACAATTAATTTTTCACATTTCTAAAGTCTGGTGTCTGATCAAAGCATGAGAGGTAGAAATAACGTGTCTATGTGGGTATGTGTGTGTGTGTGTGTGTGTGTGTGTGTGTGTGTGTAAGTGTGTATATGTGTGTGTGTGCATTTGTGTGTATGGATGTGTGTGTGTGTGTGGGTATGTGTGTGTGTGTGTAAGTGTGTGTATGTGTGTGTGTATGGGT